ACTATGGCTTGCTGGTTGGGCTAAAGAAAACACTGAACTGTCTTGTTGCTAGGCCTTGTGCCAGGAGAGGCTTGGGGTGGATGTGGAAGATAGCTGGGAAACTACAGGCTTCAAGCTTTTACCTAGAGTCCATTTCCTTATCTGTTGCAAGCACTGTCTATCAAGTGCTCCAACCTTCTCTAGAAGATGCTTTGGAACACTGTGGGCATGTGGCATTTCCTTAGGTAACCCATCCAGGCCGTAGCAACCTTAGTGGTTACTATCAGGAAAGGCTTTCAACCATTGAAAATTGAGCTTCACTACAGTTAAAAGCCACTTGGGCCACTTCTGCTTGCTGCAAATGCAAAATAAGGGAATAAATGTTTGCCTCTTTCTTCACATCATTGACTAGTGTTGACATTTTTTCCTTCCCTATGTGAAACTTTCCCATTATTTACACTTTATATTTTTTCTTTAGCCCTTTGGTCATTCTTGTAGTGCTCTTAAGGAAACCCCAGATGTTTCATTTTCAAGTGTGATCCAAAACCAGCCTTTTGTCACTGCTGCAGCTGAGCCAGTCCTTCCTAGTCTTGTGTCTTCCTGCAGCTGATAGTTCCTGGCAAAGAACTAGAGTGCCCAACTTCTTGAGTTACACAGCACCTTTTCATGTTGCTTCTGAAGACTACTTTAAATTCTAATCCCACTCTTTTGTGCTGTTTAAATGAGGAAGTAGCTGCATAAATGTCTATAGGAGTAGTGCTGTATGAATTGGTTAAGTAGGTGATGGGGTCTGGTGTCCTGGGGTGAGGTGATGTAGGAGGCCAAAATGACTGTTTCATGTGGTCTGAGCATTTTAGGATGAAGCAGGGTATGCTGGCCTTGTGTGATCTTTGTGGGTTGTATCTTTTTTTAATGGCTGGGTTTGTCTAGTGTAGTGTACTCTTGCTCCCTTTTTTTTTTTCTGAGTGCAGACACTCGTAACCTCTTACATGCTATTTAATTATTGAACAGGTGTTTAATCTGTAATAATTCTGACATGCTGTGATGATCCAAATATTACTGTTGTGAAATTAACTTGTAGTTAAATCAGTCTTCCCCCCCCATGTACAGTCTTTTTCAGCTACTTTAATGGCTTCTCTGTATGGGCTAATGCATAATTGTTCAAAGGCTATTGTAAGCATGTTGACCTGAGGTCTTTGAACATGGGATTTTTCATCTTTAACGCCAAATGCAGAGTTCAGGCTGATGGTGACTAATTATATAGAGATTTAGGGAATTGTATTAAGAAATAAACATTGGTTTTAATTAAGTATGCAGGTTACTTTTTTGTGTTACTTAGGCTCACCATACTAGTTGGGCGCTTGCTGTGAAAATGGCCCCACTGGTACCTACATAGTGCACTTTGAACCTGAAGAGCGGGCCTGCCTTCCTCTTGTCTTAACTTCTAAGCAGTGGCCCTGAGCTGTGTGTAATGGGAGAGAGAGGAAACACTGCCTTGGGCACCTCTGGGAGCCCTTGCAGAAGCCTCTGGCAGAGGTGTGAGGCTGTGGCAGGAGAGGAGGTGCATTGTCTGGAGCAGAAAATGTGTGCTTTGCGTCTCTCCCTGACAGGAGGAAGACAGGCAGGCACAAAATGTCTGTGCAAAAGCTTTCTCCTCCCATAGGGGAAGGTGGGGACTGGCAGTTGAACGGACCTTTGCACGGGGAGGAGGATCTTATGAGGAAGGTGGTTAGATCCAAAGGGAGATCTAGGCTTTTTCTGCATGTCTGGCTGGAAGGGAATGCTGAGTTGCCAGTGGAGCTGCCTCTCTTCTTAGGGAAAAATATTCACTGGTACCTCAGACTGCACTAACAATAGGAGTTGTAATTTGTTCCCTGGAGTTGTTACCCGTTGCTTTGTCATGAAGACCCTTGTCTTGTTTTTTTGTAGGTTTCACATAAACTGTTTACCAGTCATGCCACTGCATGTCCCGTACCTAAGCTGATAAAGCATCTATGCACTTTAATCTCAAGTCTACACCACTCTGCTAGTACAGTGTGAGCTGTGCCTTGGACCTTGAATATAAAGACCTACTAGCCAAAGTTTTGTTCCTGCCTTAGTAATGTTCCAGAGGTTAAATAACATGCTCATGGGAGAGATTGATAGCTTGTCCAGCCAAGAGCCAGAGTTCAGTGAGAAAGAAGACGACGAGTGGATTCTGGTTGACTTTATAGGTAAGATGTCTGTCAAACGTGAGTTCTGCCTTTGTCCTGGCTCTCGCTTGCCTTACTTCCATGTAAATAAACCAGCAGCTGGGGAGAAACTTTACCTAAGCAAAACCAGGGTGGATTAGGTGTAGTGGGTCTTCCAAACAAATGTACCAAAACATGTTACGTAAACTGATGAGAAAGATGATGTCAGGCTTATAAGCCTGACACAAATTTCAGCAGAACCATTTGCACGATATTTGACTTCTTATGCAATTGCATTGCTTTACTGATAACAGTTGTTTTACATGTCTAGCATGGCTTATCAGGGAACTCCCTTTTCCCCTCCCCTTGCTTAAAAAAAAAGTGTTGTGCTAATATGGCTTTATTTCTGTTTCCTTGGTTTTGTTTGTATCCTGTTTCTGGCTATGTGCAACCTCGTTGTTTTTGACCTCCTGCAATCACCAACATCCGTGGGTTCCTCTCCACTGACCAATGGCCACCTACAGCAGACACTTGCACTAATTGCTCCGTGGAGGAAGCAGACATCGCTGAAGCATCAGCCACAGACGGCTCACCTGTCTTCTCTTGTTTACCATCTCCCTTGGAACACTTGCCAGAGGCCAGCGAGTCTTGCTTCATCCACTTTGATTCCTGTCCCATGGAGGAGAGCTGGTTTATTACCCCTCCCCCATGTTTTACTGCAGGTGGGTTAACCACTATCAAAGTGGAAACCAGCCCAATGGAGAACCTCCTCATAGAGCATCCCAGCATGTCTGTGTATGCTGTCCACAATACTTGTCACAGCCTTAATGAGACTGGATGTGCAGATGAGGAGTTTCACAGCCCAGGTAGTCCCAGGTATGTCTGACTTCTCAAGGAGCTCTGTTGCATAAATTATCTACTTGATCAACTTAGACACTTAATACTGAATTTTGCAGTGTATTTCAGAGCAAGTGAATAAAGCATGAATGCTACACAGGGTGGGTAGGGTGGTCAGGGCTGCCTGTTTGCTTTAAAAAATGTTATATAAGATGGCCATGTCAGGAAACAGCTGGGTGTGCTGTTTTCACACTGCAATTAATATTTATGGACCCTAATTATTCCTGTGCAGAATATGCTCTGGTCCTGTTAAAACTGGTGGCAGTTAACTGTATATCTGGCGACGTAGATTTGAAAGCACTTTGCCCCCTTTATAGCTATTTGTATTTTTCATAACTGTTAGTCACCTTTCAGTCACCTTGTGAGATGAAAAACATTGCTTTAATTATCCTGACAGGGAAGTCTGGTTTGGTGTTTTTTAAGTTCCTCAACCCAATGATAGATTAGGACAGGATTAAGTTTTCCCACAGATGTCTTGTCTAACAAAAGCAAACTGAAATATTCCACAAAACTTACTCCCCTTGAGGTAAAAAAAAAAAATTGTGCTGCAAACTTCTGCTTTTAGCCAGGTAAGAAGCTGAGCTTTTTGGTTTTGGGTCCTAAATATCTGGCCATGTAGGATTATTGCAGAGGATTTGCCATGCACTGCTTTGGTGCTAACTGTCCAGTATATAGAGTTATAGGAGCATAGTATACATAGGTGTATACAAACATAGTGTTTCTTTGCCATTATGACTCCACACTTGCCCATGTGTTCATTGATTTTGAAGTAATTGGGTGTTTTGTGAATCCTGGTTAATAACAAAGACTGACTTCTTGTCCCAGCTGCTGCCTATCCTCAGAAACAATTACAAAAAAATAAATCTTAATATATTAAGCTTTGTTATACAGGAAAAAGTCAGTGTAGCAGTGGAGTTGCTGTGGGTTGATGCCAATTTACTTTTCTGATCAGCTCCTTGCCACATTATAAGTTCTTAGTTCAAAGAAACAGGTGACTGAGATGAAAGGCTGCTATATAATATTGAAGTACAGTGCTGGTACCATTCATCTTAGAGTGGGGAATTTATATAACTATTTGGGGAGGACATCAAGGGTCTAACTTAGCTTGAATCTGGGGGGGGAAGGTATAAGCACATAACACTATTAAAATGTGAGTCTGAAGGAGTTTGCAAGAGGCTGTCAGACATGCCCTAATGCAAGACAGTAGACCAGTTCATCTAAAATATCAACATGCTGTGGGTAGTAGCATGCAGGGTTGGACACTGGCTTCTCAGTGACTCCAACTGGGAAGAGTGGTATAAATTCTTCTGGAGAATAATTCTGTCTTGCATTATGCAGTACAGTTGAACTGTGGGTAAGCTAAAGGTGTGATGATCTTCAGCTGGTGTGTGATTACGTTTCTTCACACTGAATTCTGTGCTGTTGCTTCATCAGATGATCTAGGCTTTTGTATAGGTTATTTTGGCTGGCAGAACTGGGAGGAGACTTTAAGTCTAAAGCTGAGGTAGACTACATAAACTGGGACCATCAATTACACTGATAATGCAGTAAGTTTCAAAAGCTGTTTTGAAGTCTCTAGTAGTTTAATGGTTGGCCATTTGACATTGTAGGGCCAAGAAAAGCTGCTTAAGGCACACTGGCACAGTAAGTACTACTGTTTTGGAACAGTGCTTTTTGTTTGATCAGGCTGCTAGAAACACTGCTTCCTCTAGAGCCTTGTCTGCCAAAACAATACTGGGTTTAGGACTAACCTTTGTGCCAAATGATGTTGTTTGATCAAGCCTAACTACATCTGCTTTAACAAGTCAAAATGCTAAGTGCAGAAAAATTACTTCAATGTTAATTGGGGTGGGGTCTGAAGCCTTTAATGTTGGTTGTGAGATCTGGCTCAACAGCACAGCTAGTAGGACACTTACGCTTTCTCGCACCAGCAAATGTTTGTAGTGGCAGTTTGGCTTTAGACACAGCCCCTCTAAAATTACATTTTGACATTATTGATGAAGGCTCATCAGCCCTGTTCTCTTGGTGCTGGGAGTTTACTAGTGCCAGGCTACTCAGAGGCAACCAACCACTAAGGTACCAAAATGCTACATTTTGGAAGACTATGTGGCCTTTTGGCTGTTTCAGACCAGCTCTATTGTCCCAGTTTCACTTTAAGATGACAAGTGGAAGAGCTAGCAAACAATTGCTGGAAGGGTGTTTAAAAGGAGGGAAAAGCTTAAATATCTTGAAACAGCAAATTTAAACCAGGTTTTCTCCATTTGTGGAGGAAATCTATTTGCTCCTCTTAAATTCCTTTCAAGCAAAAGGATGTTGTATAAACTTCCCTGTTTGTCAGGTTAGTCATCTTTTTCCATAACAAACCACAACACTTCATATGAACAGTTGATGCCCTTTGGTAGCTAATGACTTGCAGCAAGGGCATTCTTAGGAAGTAAGTGGGTTCTTATACATGTGGCTTCCTGGCTCCTTATGGCTTTCCCCAGAAAGGCTTCACTTGGAGTTCCACCTCCAGCACTGTTGAATGTGTGAAGGGATTGCCCCTTACAGAAAACAGTAGCCCCGTATTTGCAGGCACCCTCATGTAAATTAAACTGGTGTAATCTCCATAAAAAGTATTTACAAGGCACTGTGAACTCTTTTGTGCTGGGTTGTTCACTTATTTTGTGTTTTAAGTGCTAGGTTTAGGACAATATCCAGTGAACAAACAGGGGGAAACTAGCATGACACACGTGGCTGTTCTGGAATCTGTAGGCTTCAGTCATATCAAGCTACCCAAGGAGTGAAAAGCAAATGGATTTGGATATTTAAAAGAAAAAAAAACTAGAAGGGAGAGAGTATTTTCTTGGAGTATATTGCTCCAATGTGAAGTGAGGGGAGGCAGGAGAGCTCATTTCTGTGCCAGGCAACTGCAGCCCCTCAGGAGCAAGGCTACAAGGGCACACCATGGGCATGGCAGACCAGACATACCTCTACAGAGATGACATATAGTAAATGCAAGTTAAGCTCTTCCAGAGGAGACTATATAACAGTCATGCTAGTGTTGAAAAACAGACTTGCCAAGAGACCTCTTGCTCATGCCTGAACATGGTCTGCAGACATCTTTCCTGGGCACTGTTGACAGCTGGCCATTTGGTCCTGGGCAGGGAGTAAGAAGGCAAGCTACTCTGGTCTCACACCAGCTGTGGCACTCAGACTTGGCATTTACTTTGCTTTTAAAACTGACAGGTTATTTTTATCTTTACTTTGGAGGTTTTAGGAAACACCTGTGATTGTTCCGTCAAGTAGGGAAGTCCTTTTTCAGTATGTCAGTTGCTGCTTGCATAGGCTGCTGGTTTGTTTTTCACTAGTGCATGATGGAGTAAGGGTTTGCCAAACCTGCTGATTCTCTGCTCATGAAATCTAGTGGGGTGGTTGAGGATCAATCCTTCTAAGTTATTTCTCATGTGTGTCACAACTGGTCTATCTTTCCTGTTCTCTGTGTGACATTGTTTGGATTTACTTGTGTGGCTGGCAATCCAAACACGCTTTCATCAACGTGCTTCTGTTTTCAAGTTGAACCACCCATGTTCCAGGTGACCTTAAACCCAACTTTGCCTAGTGGATAACTCCAAGTCTTTTAAAGCTGGAGCAGTGTGACACACATTGCTTTGTATTTCTGATCTATGTTGTGTCTTCGGCTTAGGGAGGCAGGGTGGGGAAGAAAAGGTAAATTGTGTAAGACAACAAAAGTGCGAAGGCTGCTGTGATGCCCTTTCACAAAAAATGAGTCAGTGGCACTACACATCAGTGTGATTTTCCTAAACTGTCTTGACCTCACCTCAGCCCAGATCTCTGCCCAGTAGAATAAAGGTGCCCTTTTGAAATGCTGGATGCTGATGTCCCTGTTCTGTCCTTTACAATTTGCATGTCTTTCCAATGCACCTCGGTAATGGCTGACATCTGCTTCTTACATTTCTAGACTGGAGGCCCGAAGTGAAACGGGACAGCGTGTTCACTGCTACGTCACGGCTCTTGCTACTCGTTCGACTTTCCTGGAAAAAAACAAGAGCTTTCGTCCTACCCACTGGATAAAAGAACATAATGAAAGACACTATCTCAAGAGAAACAGTCTCCGTCGCCAGAACCTTACCAGGGATTGCCACTCCCGGCAAGTCAAGCACAACGGACTGTTCGTTCACCAGCCGTGCCAGCGTCAGTTCAATTACTGATGGCTCTTGTGGGTTTTAATCTATGTTCTAATTGGGTTTTTTAGGTTGCTCTTGTTTCTCATGCGTAGGTAAGTGTGGTCAATCTGAAGCTGATCATCAGTCCCTCACACACAATCGTCATTAGCATTGCATTCTTTTGAAATGACACATAAATCTCCAAACATCTTACAGCAAGTCCTAAACATTGATGTTAAATGTCAATGTCTTGGAAGCCTATCAGTACAATAGTTTGTGTGCTGTTTTTATAAACTATGATGTATAGATGGGTTCCTAGTTGGTATTTTAAAGAAACTTAACTGAGATGAAATCAGTTAAATTTTGCATTAATCGAAATGGAGGTAGAAAATTTGAAGTTAGCTGTATGCTTTAATGAGCAGTACTTGACAGCTTGTGTATCTGTCTGTGTATTCAGCATATATGATTACTTTCTAACAAGGAAATACTATAGCTGCCAGTGGATATTACATAGCTATGCTGAACTGTTACAAGAAGGACATCTAAATTGCCTAGTACCTACTTGTGTTAGTGGAGTCTGTGTAGGTGTGTTGGCTACTTCATATGGGTATTGGAAAAGGGTTAAATGTCCCCCTGATATTGTATGATGTGGCACTGGTGTTACAGGTGTAGTACCTCAGAGTGGAGTGGAAGGAAAAGTGGACCTATGGGTTAAGTGCAGATGCACAACTCAGAGAGCTGAACTGGGTTTTACTTGGTACAGTTTGAGTTCTTACTGCTTTTATCTGTATCTTTCTCTTTCTGTCTCTGAAAGATGCATTTCCCCTACCCTATTCTATTTAATCTCTAGTTAAAGAAAAAAGATGGTGGATCAGCTGTTCCTTTAATGCCATTGGTAGCTGACTGCTCTTCAAAGAAGTCAGGCTGATGGATAGCTATTTCTGAGCTGCTAGTTGCTGTTCGACTGTCTTTATATTTACAGGTTGAGAGTAGCTCAAAAGTAGCTAGAAGGAAGGTTTTATGATAAGTTCTCCTAATTTTCTCTTTCCACAAAAATAAAGTCTGAGTTAGTTGTGACTGGAAATGAAGGGCAGTGTGTGGCAGGGAGAAACATGCTGAAAATCAGTCTTAAACAACTAAAGGCAGTGATAACAGGGTATATAAAAATCAAGGTAAATCAGCAGTGGTGGTTCGTGTAGCCCATTGGGGGCAGAAGGACTGGATAGCAATTCTGTGGGCCAACAGGGACAAAAAGCCATTCAAAACTAACAAGTAGCTATCTTAAGAACACTGTGCAAGGTGTTTTGGAAGTTGGCAGGCACTTAAAAGTTCACCTGTTAACAAAGAGTGTGTATTACACAGCGGCCACATGGCAGCCAAGCCCTGGTAGATCAATAGGGGAAGTAGATTAAATGGCTGTAGAGGTGAGTAAGCAGAAACCTGCACAGAAAAAAAGGGGGAAATGTGAGTAAGTTTGTTCCTCCACCTGTCAGTGCTTAGTGAAACTTATGTTTTTCCCTTATGTTTAGTGACTAGAGCACTAAAGTGTTAACAATACATTCAGCGATGTCTTCCAGTAGTCCTTATACAGAGGTCAGTGTAAGGAGTCATGTGAGGAGTCTTTGAAACTAAGCAAGATCAACAATGTGAATTATGCCAGACCTATGAAGTACTTTAAATTCAGCCAAATGCTTCAGTTTCACTGAAACAAAAGCCCAACAATTTGGATTAACCTTGATGTAGTGGTACTGTTCCACACACTGCAGCTGAAAGTGTTGTGGAACGTACTTAGTGTACAGGAAACAGCATTTGCAAGCTGTTTCACTACAGCTGTGCTGCTTCACTGGGCTTAGTTAGGATTATTGCAGAAGGATGTTAACAAATCATCAGATGTATAAAAGCAAGTGGTGCTTTCCTGGATAGACTAGTATTTTCCTTTTTTTCAAGACAGGTTGAATTTGAATGGACAGTGAAAGAAAACAAAACTGGTCACATCATGAGTTTCCAAACCAAATTTTGCTATTACTTTTTTCAGCAGTATGTGCCCACGTCTGTACAACAATTCTTTTGTGGTCCAAATACTCTGGTTTATCTGCAAATAGCTGTAGTTTCACCAGTCTCTCATCTGTTCACAAATATTGTCACTTGCCTCAGATGATCTACCTTTATCACTCCAACTTTTGCCTGGCTTAAACTTCCTTCTCCTCACTGCCAACTTTCTAGCTCAGGAAAATTCCTTCCTTTCCTGTATTATTTTTCTTTATATAGAAGCAACTACTTTCCTTCAGCTTTAATTTTCTTAAAGTGAAATGAAGGAAGATGGAGTCTCCACTTCCCTGTGTTGGAAGGAGTAAGTAATCCTTTAACTCTTAATGGGGAGATGGAGTTGAGAGTATAAGGCTCCCAGGCATTACAATGAGAGCCTCGGTCTGTTCTTCTCAGTAGGCAAGTAAATGCAACTTTAGACTGCTCCTAGAACTGGGAGATACTGATCTTCTTATGCTACATTACTAGATGACTTTCTGGTGATGAAAACCTATATCTTTCAGGATATAAACTGTTTTGTTGCACAAAGCTGTGCTTCTCAATTTGTAATATTGGAAACCTTATTATTGTGTGAGATAGTACTGTGTCAATGGCTTTTTGTTAATTTGTTTTATGTATTTATGTTGGTCTAGCCCTCTTCTGTGCCTGGAGCTAATGGGCGACTAGATTTATTTGGTTTTCTGTTTTACTAGTGAGCTGTGTAGCTTTTTATATGGTTTTTGAATTGTATTAAAGTGTGTGTTTTTTCTTGTAAAAGTGGAGGCCTTGCACTGTCTCACATTGATTGATATTAATGAATCTTGCTGAAACTGTATTTTCATATATATTGGTCAATAGACAGACTTGCATTTTAAACTGTGCCTTCTACACAGCAAACTTGAAGACTCAAAAGGGACATTTCAGCTGGGTTTAATACTGTACGTCAGTCTATGCATATATGGCAGCTTCTCTCCAGAGCCACTTCTCTATTTGTAGCAGTCCTTTTGATATGGAAGAATGTCTGGCTCTTATTTTTAATGTTTAACACAAGCTGGAAACCGACAAAATACAGCACTTTGCCAAAAAATAGCATTGCTTAACCAGTGTGTATTTACTAAAGCGATCTTCTGTATTTTGTTTTCATCGTGCATTCTGCACACCATGGGGAGACATGATCTTAACTCTCAATAAAAAAAATAGCCTATTAAAAATTGGCAGTCTGCTCTTTTATGGTACAGGTTGGTCAAAATGCAAATGCCTGAGCACCCCATGCAGGTGTGATGGGTACAAGTACTGAGCATCTCGGAGTGCTTGCTCTAGTACAGCAATCTGTCTGGGAATCGGTCTGCGTTGCTGATCAAATGACAGTGCATGGTGTAAGCAGCTTTATGCATCTCTGCCAACTGCTGTGATTCCTCATCAGGATGCAGAAGTACTGCAGGTGAACAGGACAGAAGTAAAAACATACAAACACTTAAAGCATGCACAGGTAGGGGGAAGTTTTTTTCCTTATCTAGGCTGAACCACGTTTGTTTCAACTCGTACCCTGTTGCTTTTCATTCTCCTGCCATGTGGCACCATGTGGAATCTGTATAGAACGTTGCTGTTAGTATTCAAGAGGTGGAAGAAGGGATAGGTAACCTGTGAGGGACATAGAGGCCCTGTACTGATGTCCAGGGATGGGGTTAGGAAAGCCAAAGCCAAGCCATTCGTAGTTGAACCTGGCAAGGGATGTGAAGGACGGAGGCCTTCTGCAGGTGTATGAGCTGCAAAAGGAAGGTTAGAGAAAATGTAGGCCTGTTGCTAAATAGGACAGGAGACCTCATCATGAAGGATATGGAGAAGGCTGAGGTACTCCATGCCTCCTTTGCCATTGTCTCTACCGGAATGACCAGCCTTTGGGGATTTGTGACAGAGCACCAGGACAGGCTGCCCAGAGAGGCTGTGGAGTCTCCTTCTCTGGAGACATTCAAAACCTGCCTGGACAAGTTCTTGTGTGATGTGCTCTGGGTGACCCTGCTCTGGCAGGGGGTTTAGACTAGATGACCTTTTGAGGTCCCTTCTAACCCCTAGGATTCTGTGATTCTGTGATTTCAGGCCCTTGCGACCAGTGGGAAAGGCTCCAGAAAGAAAGATCAACCCTTGATTGAGAAGGACCAAGTTAAAAAATGTTCAAAGAGATGGAATGTACACAGATCTATGGGTGTAGTCTTGGCTGGTGAGCAGGTGCACTGAGAACTGACTGAACTGCTGTGCTCCAAGGGTTGTGATCAGTGACACCAAGTCTAGCTGGAAGCCAGTTGCTACTGGCATAGCCCTAGGGGTAGGTACTGGGTCTTACACTGTTAAAAACATCAATCTACCTGGATCATAGGGTAGAGTGCACAATCAGGAAGCTTGCAGAAGGCAGGATGAGTTGTTTATATGCCAGAGGGCTGTGCTGCCATTCAGAAGGACCTCAACAGACTGGAGAATGGGCTGACAAGGAACTTCATGGAGCTCGACAAAGGAAAATATGGAGACTTTTATCTGGGCAAAATAACACAAGGCACCAAAACGAGCTAGAGGCCAAATGGCAGGAAAGCAGCTGGGAGATGTGGTGGACACCAGGTTGACCATGAGCCAGCAGTGCACCCTTGTGGCCTGGAAAACGAAAAGCCTGCTGGGCTGTGTTAGGAGGAGTGTTGCCGGCAGGCGGAGGTGATTCTTTCCCTCCATTTAGCCCTGGTGAGACACATCTGGGGGCTGGGTCCAGCTCTGAGCTCTCCAGTACAAGAGGGACATGGACATATTTGAGTAGATCCAGCAAGGGACCACGAAAATGATTAAGGGATTGAAATTGAAATAATGAGGAGAGGCTAAGACCTGTGATTGTTCAGGCTGGAGGAGAAAAGGGTCTGGGGGATCTTGTCAAGATGTGTATAAATATCTGATTAGGGCAGCAAAGAAGACAGAGCCAGACTCTTCTCTAGTGGTGTCCACTGAATAGACAAAAGGCAATGGGTACAAGCTGAAATATGGTGAATTCCATTTAGATAAATAGGTTCACTGTTCTTTTGGCTTTTTCTGAAATTGTGTGTGAAATATTTTTTTCCCCCTACAGTCATCAGTGATCCTTGATTTCCGT